ATACTCAATAGCACAGAGAAAATTTTGTTTTTTGTAACTATTTTGGGCTGTATTCACAAGAGAAGATTAAGCCCATAATTAAGTTGTTAGCCTGATGCTCAATACTCCCATTTTCTCATTTCCAACAAAATACTTTATATTTTACATCATCTTTCTTGTTCTTCTATTAGTAAAATTATAATATGTCAGTGTCAAAGGACAGTCTTATAAAGATCTGTAAATTTGAGATAATTAGATACTAAAGATACAACAATTATGAGAATTACGTATCTGAGATATATGGTATTATGTGGTCTGATCATGCTAGCATACACATTTTAGTAGATTAATTTATACTTCATCTAATAATTATAAGGAGGACACCACCACCAATATACACAAACACATTATGTAATATAGACATAATATCTGGTGTGCATATACAAAGGAAAGAAAATAAAATATTATAAAAATTCTACTATTAACACTAAAAAGTATAATGTGGGAATTAATAAGAGGGAATTCTTGGGGAGAAAAAGAAGAATAAAGGAAGGATGGAAGGAAGGAAGGAAGGAAGGAAATAGGGAGGAAGGGAGGGAGGGAAGGAGGGAGGGAGAGAGGGAGGAAGAAAAGGAAGACTGTCCACTTTTCTAATTATGCATGTTTTACCATTTAATCAAGAGACTCTCACACTAGAAAAAGACAGTAATAAGCCATAGTGAAAAGAGCTTATTTAAAAGTATAGAAATTGTCAAAAAGTATGGCATATTAGCCTAAGGTCAACTAAATCATTGAAAGCTATTTTTAGCACATAAAGAAATAATTTGGAATAGGAAAATTGTATTGCCTAATTTTACCCTTCCATTTTTCTAGCAGATATATAAACTCTCATAATACACTGACAAATAAGACACATTAATCAGCAGGTACGTGTGCATGACACATGAGATGTATTTACTGTACCTTGCTCTGTTTGTTCAATGGCTTCATAAAGAACTCTAAACTCTATGAATGATAATTATGTGGATGGGAAATAATATGTCAATACATGCAAAATATCATGATGAAAAACAAACTCGACTCAAGAGTAATATCTTTAAAAACCTCTTCTTCTTCTCACTACGCCTTTGCAGGGCAAATCATTGTTACCAGCCACATTTCCACCTGTGATTTGTTGTATTGCCTCAGACCTTGTCCAGCTAGAAAGGTTCTTCAGTCAACTCTCAGACATAGCCATCTGCTCTTTGAACATCGGCGGCCTTCTCTTCACCACTCAAGAGGTGCTGGCATTTTCACTTCTCTTCCTCTAATTTTGCCCTTCTTATCATGCTTAACCAAAGGACCATCCCTTCTTGTTGCACATGGTCAGTCTGACCTTCTCTTCCTAAGGAAACAAAGCATAAACTGAGACCAGAGAAGAAAACAGAACCTATTTGTCACATAGTATATTAGTATATTAGTAGCTTATTAGTAGCATAGTATATTAGTAACTGAACACAAAACTGGCCTTGTGATCACACTTCACTCCAAGCTGATTTACCATGGCAGGTATTAGGCAGGATGGAGGAGAGCATATGGTGATGTCATTATGGATGTGAGCATGAATCACAGATTAAAAGGTGAACTAAGTGCCTTACACTTTTTATGAGATGCAAGAAGGAAAGGGAGTGAAAACAATGGCTTCATGAAATGAACTTATGAACACATTGGTGTGCAGAAAACACTTTACTTACCATGTTTCAGGACTAGTACGTGCTGAAACACATAACAGCTTCATCAAATATTGGAAGCCGATGATCAGACTTACTGAATTCATTGGGCCCAGGATTTCACAATTGCCACTTCCCAAAAGAATGAAATATAAAATAAATAAAATAAATACACTGTTTCTTGCTAATGAATAAATGAAATGGGATGAAAACCTGAAGGAAGGAAGGAAAGGAAAGGAAAGGAAAGGAAAGGAAAGGAAAGGAAAGGAAAGGAAAGGAAAGGAAAGGAAAGGAAAGGAAAGGAAAGGAAAGGAAAGGAAAGGAAAGGAAAGGAAAGGAAAGGAAAGGAAAGGAAAGGAAAGGAAAGGAAAGGAAAGGAAAGGAAAGGAAAGGAAAGGAAAGGAAAGGAAAGGAAAGGAAAGGAAAGGAAAGGAGAAAGGAGAAAGGAGAAAGGAGAAAGGAGAAAGGAGAAAGGAGAAAGGAGAAAGGAGAAAGGAGAAAGGAGAAAGGAGAAAGGAGAAAGGAGAAAGAAAGGAGAAAGGAGAAAAAAAAAAGAAAAGAAATTTTTTTAGAGAGGAACATAAGGTGTTAAGATGCAACAAAACAAAAACAAAAACAAACAAACAAAAAACATACTTTGTTAGCATGTAAATTACATTAACAGACAGGGATCTCATTCACATTTGTTGTACATGCATTTCAACACTGCTTCCTTTGTTTGAGCATTTCAGACACAGGTTCAAGCTGTCCAGGGCACTCAGTGACTGATGCTACCCTCTCAGGTGTAGTTCAACAGTTGCCGCTTGCTACTGAAAGCCCCAGGAGTACCAGAGTGTGAGTACTAGATACTCAGGGGTACTAGTTGTTTTCAGTCATCTCTGCCTCCTGTTTTGTATATATGGCTAGACCTGGTGATTGACATATATGTCCCACACTGTATAGAAACGATGAGAAGGCAGAGAAGATGTTGTGCCTTCAGACTGATGTGACACATTGTAGATAAATGCAAGGTAGAACTACCAGCATCTTGAAATAAATTCATGGGATTAAAAAAAGGAATAGATATGATGAGACAACATTTCTGTCAAGAAAGTTCACAGAAAATGAACAGGCTTTTCCATGTAAGTAAACACTGGAGGCTTCAGGAATTATGACCAAGAAGAAGCTTTATCAGCATGGTGGACTCTTGCATCCAACATGTGAAAAAGTTTGACCAAAGACGAATCTAGGATGTTCTGGAAGCTGGGCTATCAAGCTGTTATAAATTCTAATATTTCCCTATTAGAAAGGCAAAGCATAACCTCAGCTTGCTGCTGAAACATTTATTTATTTCTGATTTAGAGGGCTCTACACAGCAAGAACACTAATAATCCTTTCATATTACAATTTTTAAGGTGAATATTCACTTACGTGAGTTATTCACTGTCTGTCATGCTTCTGAAATACAGGAGAGTGAGGTGCTCAAGTGTCAGAGACTAATGTCAATAAATACTCTGTGAAGCATCCCAGAACTTAGTACCTTTATCCAAACATACCTAATCTGGTTTGAAAGCTTAAGAAACTTCCATGTGAGACCTAAGATGTTATCAAAATCAATTTTTTTTTTTCCCCTTTATTCAGCTTTCTGGGATATCTGGAGCTGCCGTGTGACCCGGCAAGCAGCCTCCTCTCTGCCGAGGGGTGACACCAGTGTTTTCCCGCTGAGCTTTTCTCTGCACCTTGCCAGTGCCATATGAAGAGAAGAGAGATTCTTCTGCCACTTTGCTGCAGCTCCCCAGATACAGTGGGAGATTCTGCTCAGCCTTCATGGAAGATCTGAACTCCATAATCAGGCAGTTAATGAGCCCAGCACTTTGCATGTCCATGTATTTGTTTTCCTCTTTAATTATCTTATGCGTAGATACTATCCAGAAGTCAATCCTAAGCATTTGGGAAGGGAGAAAGGTGAGGACTGGCAGTTTGGGGAAAATACAATTTATTTTTATTTCTACTTTTAATTGCTCATTTTGCTATATGAGTAGCTGTTTCTTAGGCTGAATGAGGAATTTTTACAGTATTTTTGCATGGTTCTGCATAATATTTCATGTTAAAATCTGAGATGCTGAGGTATAAAATGTCTATGTACATGCACACAATATATATGTTCAAGTCAAGTTTACATTACAGATATAATTCTGCATATTAATTATTATTATGATTAAAATTACTGGACTGACTTAATCAAAAGATTCTTATATTCGATCATATCTTATAAAAGGTAAAAACAACTGTTTTAAAAAAGAAAAAAAAACAACAACAATTTCAGCTGTTTCGCAACACCTTTGATTTTTATTATCAATGTATTTCTGTTAGAAGTTTGAGTACAGCATTTTTGATAAGCAAGTATCATCATATTCTTTTCAATCAAGGCACCTGAATCATTCTTGAGTTCTGAAAATGCCAGACAATATCTTGTTCAATGCCTTAATCTTAACTAAACAGAAGCAAATGTATGCTCCCTGAGCATCTGAAATTATATTTCTAATCAGTATATACTTCATCTTCCGTAGGCTCATTCCTCTTCAATTATTTTCCAAGCTACTCACAACAAATAAGGTGTTTTCTGCATGGTTTCTCAGTAAGCAGCAACTATCTCCTTAATTTAAAGTTTCTGAGACACAATCAGTTTTCTGAGCTCTCTTGTTGTAAAAAGAGAAAAAAATAAATAAAAAATAAAAACTGATGTAACAAAGCAGGGAAAAAATATAGAAAAGGATTGGCATCTTTCAAGAAGAGCTATTCCATAGACCACAGCACAAACCAGCAGTCTTCATAGTGCTACACGTTACAGAGAAAAAGAACTGAAAAAAAAATCCTGGCAGTCAATACATATTGGAGGTTGGGTGCAAAATAATTAGTTGTCCTCATGGGCTGCTGCATGGAGAAGTCACTGAAGGCAAATGGCTGTGACCCACTGCTAAAGACCCTGTTCTGTTCACTGGTTGTGTTTGCACACTACTGTACTGTCCTGGTTTCAGTTAGCACAGAATTAATTTTCTTCCTAGTAGCTGGTGGAATGCTGTGTTTTGGCTTAGGATGAGAAGAGTGCTGATAACACCCCGATGCTTTAATTGTTGCAGAGCAGTGCTTATACTAAGCCAAGGACATCTCAGCCTTTTGCTCTGTCCTGCCAACGGGCAGGCTGGGGGTGCAGTAAGAGCTGGGAGGGGACAGACCCAGGACAGGTGACCCAAACTAGCCAAAGGGGTATTCCATACCATCTGACGTCATGCTAAACAATATATAGGGGTGGCTAGCTGGGGGGAGGGGGCCGGACTGCTCGGGGTTAGGCTGGGCATCGGTCAGCGGGTGGTGAGCAATTGCATTGTGCATCACTTGTTTGTACATACTATTACTTTCGTATTATCACCATTGTATCATTATTATTATTATTGTTATTATTATTTTTGTTATTATTATTTTCCTGTCTTATTAAACTGTCTTTATCTCAACTCACGGGCTTCACTCTCCATTTCTCTCCCCCGTCCCAGAGAGGGAGGGGGGAGGGTGAGCGAACGGCTGCGTGGTGTTTAGCTGCCGGCCGGGTTAAACCACGACATGTACCTAAAAGAATTGAAAGCAATCACTGCAGACTCGTTTCTGAAATGAACATTCATGCATGAAAAGTAGATGTTGAGCAAAAGTGGATGCTTATATGTTATGAATACAGAACTGAATACAGAAGTGCTATAAATAGCACTTCTAAGTCAGGGGAAGTGATATCTACCTATGGTCATAAAAGTGGGAATTGTCTGAGTCTCAAGGAAAGACAGTATATCTTAACTGTTAGACCCATTCTTTGGCTTGACTTATTTTTTACATTCCCAGAATATGACACAAGAAACTGATGTAAAATGCTCTGCTTCTGTAAGAGCTTTGCTCTTTAATTGCCTGACAACATCCCCTGCCTTGCCTGAATGGGTAAGTCACAATCAAGAATGTGTGTCAATAAAATACATCCTCTATTATATATGTTGATACTATATTTTTCTTTAAAGGTATTTTGGTTCTTGTAGTATTACCTTCACTCTGCCATCCTTACCCTGAGCAGGCAGAAGAAGAGCATGCTGATGCCAGGGAGGTTTGTAGCTCTGGTTCCATGTATGTGGAGTTGTCCCTTGCCAAGTGTTCTATCAGATGGGCAGTGCGAATGTTGTCATAGACTCCAGTTTTCAGAGAACATTGTCAGAGAGTCCAATCAGCCTCTTTTAACTGTGGACAGTTCCCCAGGGGTCTTACTGCTATCAAAATTTTTGCAAAAATAACCACATTTTTTTTTCTGTCTTTTGGGTTTAAACACCTAACCAGTGCATTGTAGTGCTCTAAATCTTGCTCGCTGATTATGCTAGTAGTTTTGATGGTATTTCAGTACCCAGCTGGGTTTGATATTTAATTACTGAACAATCCCTTTGATATTGTTAAGCTACTTGCAAAGTATCCAATTATAACTGGAAAAAAATGGCCTGTAGACTTTTCTTTTCTCATGTTTTCTACACCAGTAAATTCCACAGAGTAAATAAATTTCATCTCTGTTTGTTTTTAATAACAGATCATTTTGTTTTTCATTGCATTAATAACATTTATTTATTTTTTTTTTCAGATGGAGTTCCTGCCATTTCAGCAAAATAGTTAAGCTTACAGATGACATTTAGCATGTGCTTAAGACCCAAGGGTTTCCACTGAATTTCATATTATGCTTAAAATCAAAGATTTATGTGAATATGAATGGAGTGCTGAAATACAGGCTGATTAAAGGTCATGCTTCCTTTAATTAGATGCAGATTGACTGAAAATCAGCTAGCAGAGTGTATTTTAGAATGGTGTCTCCATTTGTGGAAATCATTCTTTGAAGAGATGCATGTAGACCTACGTGTGCACACACAGACCCAGAAACATCAGCACTTATACATACACATAAACATAGTTAGATTAATTTTCTAGTCTATGATATACTTATTTATTTATTTATTTACCATTCCTGTGGCTGTTTTGACAAGAAGCTTGAATCAAAGAGCCATGCTAGCTTGGAATAGTGCAGTAGCAGAAATCCATAGGCATGCTATCCACTATTTCTTCTAATTTTTCAGAGTCTTGCTAAGGAAATAGAGCAATTTCTATTTCCTAACATAGAATATCATCCTAACTACTGGGACTTGTTTAGGGCCAGGAATAAACAAAATAAACCTTACCTATTCAAAAAAGCTATTCAAAAAAGCTATTCAATTTGTCTGCCTTCACCCCCCACTCTCCCCACCATTCACCCCCCCCTCATTTCTCCCCCCCCCCATTTAATTTTTTTTCTCACTTGTCTCCCATCTGTGATTGGATTATTTTCCAACATGTAAAAAAGTGTCTGTTTCAGAAATCTATGGCCAAACAGGCCATATCAAAGTGAAGAATCAAATCAGGACTAAATAAGGGAGATTCAATCTGAACTGATTTACCTCAATCAATAACGTTGAACAAGACATAAGGAACTTTGTCAGGAATACTGTATATCAGCAGCATTTCTCATGGAAATTTTCTGCCTAGAACTGTTACAGGCAATTTCATTGTCCACACAACAGATTTTGCTCATTTCTTTCAGCTTTCCAATAAGGAAAGCAGGTGCCCAGCAAGGTTATTTCTGAATCAGAAATAAGAATGACACAGAATACCATTATATTACAACAGAACATGATATTTGGATTAACCTAGCATATAAAAATAAATATATTTGTCTGCAACAGTCTTTTTATTTTACCCTTCAACCTCAGCTCTGATGAGTACAGGTAGTCAGAAACATGAACAAAATAAAATTATGGGGAAAGAAATGAAAACCAAACTAAACTGAAGACTAGTTTTTGAAAGAGTACCTGCAAATTTTATGTGTAATATTGACTATCAAAGTCTTCTCTGATATCCTTCTGAAGGATAACTGTCCTTTACTTATAGGGCTATGCCCCAAACAATGATGTAGATAGCTTTTTTGTCATTTGTCTAGTCTTCATGCTTTTTAAAAATACTGCTTCAATAATAGTGTGATGTTGAAGTCTTAGGTTTTCCCACTTTAGGGGGTTTGGTGTTTGGTGGACCAGAAAGTTGGATTTCTTCCCTTATTTCAAGATGACTTAACTTCTTATTGCTCCCAGGTGAACCATATCTATTTTGGCAGCTTTTGTACTCCTCTTATTCATGGTATATTTCAATTAAAATGCAGGGCACTGCTGACCTGCATGGCACAGCCTCATCTGCTTTTCTCTGAGGTTGAACAGAAACGTGGCATGTCATGTCAGAAAAAGCTTCCTCGCGCAAACAGAAAAGGAAGTAAATAAATAAAGCAATATTAGGAAAGACTTTCTGAGTGTCTTAAACATGGAGGAGCGGACTTGTTGGTGGTCCATGGGGGTAGTTCTGGCTGTTTTGAAGTATTAAATAAAGCAGATACATACAGTGAATTGAGAAAAAGCCAGGCTGCTTCTTACAGGCATGGCTAATTACAAGGAGAGAACAATCACAAAAGATCACTACTAATTCATGCTGAGATTTTCAGTGACTTCACAGAGGTAGGTACACAGACTATCTTGAACAACTCTGGAAACAGAGTGCCTTACCAGCACAACCCTCCATAAGGTTGTAATAGCATCTAGCATATTTGTAGCGATCTCCTCAGATATTAAAAGATTGTTCTTGAGCTTGATGAAGAAAAGCCAACGCAAATCAAGGGAAAATAAGGGAGAGAGCAGTGCTATCTCACAGCTTTCAAAGGAAATTTAAGATAGCCTAACTTTTATTTTGCAGGTGGAACTAAAGCATCAGTAATACATGTATTATGTTAATTGCTATCAGGGTTAAAATGATGTTGTCATCATAAATATATCTGGAGGCTGAGGAAAAAAGCACAAAAACCTGTCATGGAACAGTCTGAACTAATTTTGTGTCAGAAATTTCTGACCACCTTCTTTTTGCACACACAGAGGGGATGCTATTTTCCTATTCTGTGGGGTAGATAATGCTGTTCTTCAGTCACAGAGCATTCAATGCTCTTACCAGAAACTCTGTAAATTTTAACATCTCTGTAGGATTTTCTCATTTTTTGTTATCCTACTGTGCTCTTTCCCAGGGCATAGTACAGATTCAGCAATCATTTCATGGATCATGCTAACCACAGGAAAGAACTGCAAGATATTTAAATCCCAATAACTTCCCAGTAAATTACTTTATAATGGGTAGTTCCACATGACTTCTATCTTTTTAGCAGCAGCTTTTCCCATTAAGTCAAATGGAATTTTGTTTCTGGAGTGATCTGTCTGGTTTCTTGGTTCTTTTCTTTATGAATGAGTTCACGAATAACTTGAAATATAAAATCTTATAGTATAGACAACATTTACAATTTCTCTCTCTCTCTTTTTTTTTTTTAATGATAACAAGAATTGGAAAGTCAAGACTCAGAAAGTAATCTTTTGATGAACTATTAATGGATCCTTCAGCTACACTGCATAAAAAGCTCTGTTGGTGGCACATAAATAAACTGAGTGGCTCTTTAATATTCGTTTACAGTCTGTGAGCCTGGGTATCCAGGTAAAAGGATTAATGAAAAAAAGAGCAAAAAGAAACAAAAACAATTAACATGGAAGGAAGTGAGTAGTGCCATGAAAGTTGTTTTGTAGGCATATTCGTTCTGTGCTCCTCTTGGACATGTTCATATACATAAATACATTTTGTTTCTCACAAATTTAATCAAAATCTTGGAGTAGGAAAATGCTCAAACTTGCAGATTGGCTTATATTAAAAATAGTTTGCCTCTGGAAAGTTTGTTCCTGCAGACTCTTTTCCTCCCCAAAAGTTATAAAACCTTTTAAAATTTATATTAGAGGATATAGAGGCTTGAATGGTGCATCACAAGTGTGTAATGCAATTTCTTCTGAAAGTCACTGCCTCCTCCAACCTCCAGCTATCCAAAGAAATTTTAGGTCCAACAAGATAAAGGGATGCACAAAAAGCTATCCAAGGTTGCACAGCCTTTTTTGAAGTTGATTTCTTTTCAGATTTTCTTAAAATACTCTGCAGCCATGAGAACAAAGTGACATTGATGGTCTGTATAAGAAAGATTTGAAATGACCATGAGTATTGGCAAATAAGAGTATTTTTAATTCTTGTCCAGTGATTTATTTTTACAGTACAGACTGCTCCACCAAAACTACAGAGTTGGCACTTATGAAGATATTTTAGGTATTCAATGCCATCAGCCTGTGAAAGTACAATAAATTTATCATTTTTTTCATATAATCGTTTTTCGTCATGCTCTCCCATGCATGTTATAACCTTCTTGTACTCACCTGCATATTCCCTTCCTTACCCAGGTTTCTCATCTTTCTTAAAAGTCCACTTTTGCTGAGATCTGTATAGTGAATCAAGATGATTTATTCTCTCCTCTGACCACTTCCCGGTCTCACTAAAATATTTAAAACTGAAGTAGAGAGATGATCCCTTTTAGCTGAAAATACTTTATGGATGCATGAGGTTGTAAATAATAGCCTTGGATAAAGTATCCTTGTTTAAATGAAAAGAGGGAAGTTTAAAATTACATTCCCACAAGAACAGACCCACAGAAATTTTGTCTTATGTGTTGAAATTCCCACTGGAAAAAATGGAATTTTCATGGTTAGAGCTTTTCTTCCATTTCCACCTCTCTATTTTCTCTATTGTCATAAAGCAGCAAAAATCAGCATTCAGATAGGGAAAATGAAAATTGCTGAGTCTGATTTTTGGACCTCTTCCAAAATGCAAGTGAGAACTATTATTATTATTATTAATTATAATTATTATCCATACAATTGAATAACTGTGATTAGTGAAAACAAATCTTCATCCAGCTATTTGCAGCTTCTAATAGCAGCTTAGTAACAATACCTAGTATTTTTTAATTGCTGCAGGGTGAAGGGAAAAGAAAGATCTGTATGTGCCTGATCGAATGTCTACAGAAAGTTGCCTCTCATACTAAGACTGAAGTACAACAGTGCATTAGAACATCTGTATCTTTCATTTACACCCTCTTAGCTATTTCTCAGTGTTTTAAAATGTTTTATGTTTCATATGCTCAAGTATCAAGAATGAAATCATTGTGCAAACATGAATGAAAATATGTGCATTGTTACAATTGCTAGATTTTTTTTTGTGTGTGTGCTCTGTTATGTCTGTGCTCAGGAAATGCATGTGCTGACCTTTTCAACCATTTATTGTGCGGTGTCCTACATATCCGTGAGTAGCACCTTTTGGGAAAAGGAGGAAAAGTGTCTTTTTTCATACTTTTAGTGTGTAGGAGAAAAAGTACATGGGCTTTGAACAAACAGTGTTCAGGTTAAATATAAGAATTCTGTATATGATAACATATAGAGTACTGTAATTACCTTTGAAAGGTAAGGACAAGGAAGCAGCACTGCAGTTCACTGTCCGCAATACTTGCAGAGTTGATATAACAGTTCTTTATGAGTAAGGTAAACCTTATGTCTGCAATGAAATATGCAGTTATGGTAGATGCAGCCAGAGCACAGATTAAATGACCTCTTGAGATCCTGCTCAGCTCTAAAACTCAATGAAAGAATGACAGCAAGAATTTGCAGATGAAATCAGCTACCTAACTATACAAAATTCCCATGATGTCCATCTCCCATGCCCAGCTTTTAATAATATATGCTGTTTGCTGACATTTTTAATGGTGGGATGGAGACCACAGAGTCACCCACTGTTCCAGTAAAGCTTCAATAGTTTTACTGTAGCTCTCGGTAAAAGGGAAGAAAAATCTGCCATTTTCTTTGTTTTAGTATTGTC